TTACAAAAGAGAATGGGAGAAGAATTAACCAGAATCAATGCTCAAAAAGCTAAACTATTAAAAGAACATAAAAATACGAATGACCGATTAATAGCTTATCGCAATAGTCTATGAGAAGAAGTCAAGAATTATTATTGAGCTTCCAGTGAAGCCCAAGCGGGAACTGATGGACCTAAACAATATTCTGGTGGTTATTTAAGAGATTGATTAAATTCTTATCCTAACATGAAATTTTGCTTATACTTTGGGGATAAATATGGTTGTAATTGAACTCACTCTAAATGGAGAATAGCCATGATAACTTTCTATAGTTGTGCAGGAAATACTTTTGTGGATCAATATCAATTTAGAAAACTAATGGAAGAAAAAATTAAAGATGAAAACTTTGTGGAAACTGCTAGTTCCTTAATTGGTTAGAAAAGCAATCTTCTAATTATTAAGTTCTAAAATAACTATCCTTACTATCTAAAAAAGTAGCTAATTCACGGCGACTATTAAACTCTCTGTAATCAGCGGCTCCTTTTCTTAAATAGAAAATATTACTTTCAGCGTTATATTGAGAAGCATTATGATTTTTTTTAATCGCAATTCAAAGGTTAGGATTACTATTAACTCAGCCATCAAAGGCATTTCCATCGGCTCGACTATTAATATTAAATTCTCCCACAAAAGCCATAAAATTTCTTTGTCTAATAGGTTTGGGATGATTATTTTCAATGGCTTCATTTAAATCTCTCGCTAAATCAAATTCCATATCTCTTACATTATACTTGCCATATATTCAAGTTAATTCTAATTCTTGGGCAGGACAAAATACAAAATAATCATTTAGTTTTTGTCTTTCAGTAGGAGCGATAGTTTTTAACTCCTTGATATCCCTTAAAGCACTTTGTAAAGTAAGATTGATTTCAAATTTATCCGCGGAATCAGCAATGGCTTTAACTCAATCATTAAATAATTCTTCCTTTTTTATTTTGGCTCAACCTAAACCATTAGTTGAATTAATCGCCTCATTTATTTGTGTAGTAGCTC